GTTGAAATATTTAAGAAAATTATTTTTTGAGTTAAAGAAGCTAATGGAGGTAGAAAAACCTTAAAATGAATTAGGGATTAATTTATGAAATTAAAGTCTATCTTTTGAAAAAATTCAAGAAAAATAGTGGGGAGATAATTGTTGACCCAAATGTTTTAGAAAATTATTTTATCGGTCAAAGAAGTTGATAGATTAAGAAAATACATATAAAACATTATGGATTAATTTCTAAATTTATTTTATGGTTTCGAAAAAATAGAGAAAGAATAAAGTAGGAAATACGAAAGGATAGAAGGGCAAGGAGGTCATTTCCTTTCCCTCACATGAACCTCACGTGCTGCCACTCTTAAAATCATCTGACTCATCCTTCTCCTCGAGCGAGCGAGCGAGCGTGTGTGTGTGTGTGTGTGAGAGAGAGAGAGAGAAGAATCGAATGATCTGAGGCCGTTTTCTGACATGCTAACGGTGATCTTGATAAAGGTGAGCCTCCTAGTCCTCCTTCTACCCTCTGTTTCGTCATTTGTGTGAGGTTTTAGGAAGTTGTGGGGTTGTTGAAATCTGTGCTCAAGAAGAGAAATTAACCTTCAAATCAAGAAACTTAAAGAATGATGCTTATTGATGACTATGAAGTATGTTTTTCACTTTTCATGTAACTTATCCCTTCTGCACGTTGTTGTTTTGCTCTAGTTGTGATGGCTGAAACAGGGGATTCCAGTCTTGTGCGATTATAGTTTCGGTTCTGTAGAATGGAAAGAGTAGAGTATTGTATAATTATACATATGTGCTGTAAAAATCTGGAAATCTCAGTCAAGGGTGCTGCCGTTCGAAACTCTTAATCGGAAGGAAGAAGTATGATGTTTGGATTTTGAACTCTTCAGCTGAGTTTCGAAACAGGGACTATATATATGTGTATCTATATTTATATTTGTGCGCGATTTTGCTTCATGTAGCTAGAAGGAGCAAAACCACACACACACACACACATCTTGCTGCTATTGTCCGAATTGGAAGCTTAAGAATTGATTTAAGATTGAAGCATCGAGTGTTATGAAATTGGAAAACTTAATATTGGAGGACAAGGCTACTCAAGAAAGTAGAAAAGTGAATAGAAGATCATTTACAATAATTGTACAAATAATTGAAGATAGATTGCTATAGAATAAAAAATTTGAATAGAGCCTGAAGTTATTAATTTAGATAAAACCAAGAAAGTTCACGACTAAAAACATTTGTAATGGTAATGGGATTTTGTAGAAATAAATGTGTATGTTTTGGCCTATGTAGGGGGGAAAAAAGGAAGAGCGCAAGAAATATATATGTTTGTATGTTGCTGTAGGTCATGGGTTTAGGTTGTTGAATTTAAAATAGCGACATGGAATTTAAAATCTGGAATTTAGGATCGAAACTTTAGAATTAAGCCTATGGTACAAGGGAGTTAAGTTAGTTCGGCTATCATGAAGGAAAAGTGAAGGAGCGATTAAAGGTTCAAATTTTGCGACTACAAAGAGCATCCAGAAGTGTTAATTTTGTTAAATTTGAATTGGAACACAAAGTTATAAATCTGGAAAATTTCGAGATTTGGAATAGAAGCATTAAAGAGTTGATTTCAACATTGATACAAGTCTGGACAATTATTTCAGATTTAGAGAGAAGGGGTTCTTGTGTAGAATAACACTCCGAGTACAAGTTTAAAACCATTACGATTGAGGAGTAGAGCTCACTTGCACCAAGATGTTGTGGAATTTTTGAGGAGTTAGAATATTCATAGCAAGTTTATAAATTTTTGCTATATGCAATATATTATTAGATTTTATATTATGCATTGTAAATAAATCTATATATATATATATGTAAGTATTAAGATTTTTATATAGCTAAGACTCGAGGGATGTAAATTCTCTCCTTTTTTTTTGCGCCGGTCTCATCTTGATTTTTTTGGAACGTGACAATAAGTTGTATTCCATTGTAGATTTATTTTTTTAACTAATTTTTTGATCTGCATAATTCAAGTATTTGTATCTCATAGAGAAGACTGTAGGAAATATAAGGTATACCAAACAATTCATTGTAAACGTACACTTGAAGCATTGGCGCATTAATTTGTCTTCACTATACCATTTCTGAAACATTTCTTTACATTCCCCACCTATGATTATCTACTGTTCCTCATTACACCAAGTATGTGAATAAATTAACTTCGTCTTCGAATATCGCATCAATTTTTCTTACGTACATTGATGCGCTTTAACTTTAATCCCCTGCCTTCACCCCTTCATTAACTTATTCAAATATGCAATTCACATATATAACCATATAAACTGTACCCATAGTATTTATGAAACATATATTTAGTTAATGAATTTTTGTATTAACACTGTGTATTTAGTCAACTTACTCCATGTCCACAAGACATATATGGTACAGGACATATTAACCATTTAATACATTATAATAATAAGTAGTATCCTCCGATCCTTAATATTAAAGCTAGTTTTTTTTTGCCTTAATATTAGAGATAGTTCGATATTCAATTTGATTCTAAATATAATACTTCAGTCTACTTTGTCTCTCTTATTTATTTAATTTTGTCAAAGTAATCTTTATAGTATAATAGTATAGTTGCACATATAAAAAGTTCTATCATATGATAGTTCTAACTAATACACATCATTAACAATGGTATTTTAGGAAAGATAACACCTATTAATTACAAATAACTAATTTAGTTAATTTCTTTAATATTTTTAAATTAGTTATTTAGCTTTTATATTAAGGACCAAAGAAAGTATAAAAGAAACCTACTTTAGCAAAACACGTGTTTGTTTGTGTGTGTGTAGAGAGAGAGATAGAGAGAGACTAATTAGGTTATTCCTCATACGAATAAAGGACCAACAATAGGTGAAGGCATTGGCAGTGGAATTCAGCGCATCTTGCCACCTAACACATGATTTTCCACTTACTCCATTCAAATTTGTATAAATGGATTGCTTATGGATATTTATGACCAAATGACTTGTTTTATTTATTTCCCTCTGTTTTTAATACACCAAGGCCACAGACAGGAATGTAAAAGGATGATGACTTAACATGGATATGGAATTAATGAAAAGTAAATGAGGAACCTAATCCATTTCTTATCCCACCTCTGGTTTGTAAGTTATTCCTTCCATTCTTTTATTATAAGCTACAAGTTTTTGAATGCATGTGTCTAAAATTCATAAGTTACACGTTGAAGATCTTTAAACATTTAATGCCTCTTTTCTTTTCTTTTGGTTTTTTTTCCCCCTTCCTCCTTTCCTCTTCGTTCCTTCCTTCCACCTTTTATTCTTGCTCACCGAATTAATGACGCCATTTACTCAAATCCGAATGCCTCTTCATGCTCTTCACCGCTTCAGATTTGTGGAGTAAAATGACTTGGTTTAATTTCGTCATTTGATTTGGTTTCATGAGCCAGTGGTGCGAGTCAATGAAATGATCATTTATTAATTTAGAACAGAGTAATAAGCCAAGACACGCGCAGCGGAAGTTTCCTTTTGGAGTTCACTCAGGACGAAAGCTCTTTGCTACTAACGTTGGTCACTGTCCAATCAAAGTCTAACACTTTAACTTTAAAGAAGTATAGAGACCTTAGAGCTTAGAGAAAATGTATTGTATTGCCTTGATTATATGATATGTACAGTGTAGTATATATAGACTCCGGTGATACAGAAAGAAGGGACCTGTAGCCCTAAACAGAAAGATCTAGAATAACTATACATTACATGGGCTAGAAAAAGCTAAATGGGCCTATGATTATTTCCAACAAATTTGTGTCCATATTTAATATTCATTTCGTCTTTTTTAATAAATAACCTTAGACTCCATCACGTAGATCGAAAAGCTAGTTAAAACTAATAAATAGGTAAAATTGGAAGTTATTTCTTCAAAATACCCTTATTTATGAAAGAGAGAAAATGTGGATGGAAAGAAATGATGGTTTGAAAAATAAGATGATAAATATGCTGGATATTAAAATAAGTAATTAATGGGGACAAAATAAAAATTTTGCTACAAAAATTTAGAACAACTTGTAAATGCTGTTTATATTTAAGGACAAGAGGATGATGGTGATTGTTGCTTATAAAAAAGGATAAAGGAGTATGATTTACATAGCCATTAGAAGAATTTCGATGTTGTTAAACTTCCAATAGTTAACTATCGAGATCGCTTTATTTTATCATTTACTTGGTTTGAGTCCTTGAGCTCTTGTCCAATCTGTTGGCCAGAATTTCCTATATATTTTCACCTGTAAGCAGTCATATCTAATTTTGGGATGTTATACTATTGGTTATCATTTTTTTATTTTACATTATTTACCATAAAAGAACCACTGATGATTCAATTAATAAAAATAACTTAAAAATCGGGTCAATCTTTTTTAACAAAAAGAATCAAGATTGAATCATAATAACGGACTTGAGCAAATCCCGACATCGACTTTTGAGTCCACTCACTTTAGTTTGCTACCCCTTACCTAATCATTAGGGTCTAAGACGCGTTTCATGGGACCGGAGTATGACCGAATTCTGTAAATTAGGAAAATTGAAACCTGAGCAGAAAGAGTGAAGAAGCATCCCGACAGTGTTATGTAGTTAAAAAAGTGAATGCGTAGAAAATTATAGGATGCCTGTGGGGCATGATGAACGCGGTTCATATTCGTGTTGGACCAGTTGGTTTCTTTTTGAATAAACAACAATTGATTTTGACCATCTGAATTCTGCAGAAGTATCATTTAATTTCGTTTTTTTTTTACCTTCTTATTATCAAATAATTAATGGTTCCTGTATATAATTCTCTTATGATGACCATGAGTAGTATCACTATCAAGTAAACTTACTATCCTGCTTTCTTTCTTCAAGTGTGCTGTTATGATGGATTCCTACACTTCAAAAACGATTATTAATTTGCTTTGGTATCTATGTGCCATCATCATACTCTATTCAGGCTCGTCCCATGCGAATATGAACGTTGGTTGCAATGAAAGAGATCGAGAAACTCTTGAAGTCTTCAAGGGAAGCATTAAAGATCCATGGAACCTACTCTATTCTTGGTCTGCTGAACAAGATTGCTGTAACTGGTTTGGAGTTCACTGTGATAACCTCACAAGAAGAGTCACGGAGCTGGACCTCTCGCGGAATTTCCCTTCTGATAACCGATTAGGGGGTCAGATAAACTTGTATGTTCTGAAACTAGAATCTCTCAGCTTCTTGGATTTGCATGGGAATGACTTTAATGCTATTTATATTCCAACCGTCCATAACTTGTCACTGATTTCAACCATCCACCATGGTGCAAACTTCTCCAATCTTGTTTATCTTGATTTTTCACAAAACGATGACCTCAGAATCAATGATCTTATATGGGTTTCGCAGCTATCTTCTCTGAAATATCTTGACCTCAGCAATGCTGATCTCTCTGAGGAAACTCTTTGGCTTCAACGGGTTAACCTGCTCCCTTCACTTAGGGAGTTACGACTAAGGGCCTGTTTGGGTATCCCAAAACCGTGGTTTCAAAAGCACTTTTCCGCAAAACGAGATAATCTCCTCCACATATTTACTTCGTAATCCGTAAAAGCACTTCTGAAACCATGGTTTGGTTTCTATCCAAACACACCCTAAGTCATTGTTCCTTGAAAAGCATTCAACCGTCCCTTGAGCATGTCAATTCTTCTTCCCTAGCAGTTCTTGATCTTTCTCGTAATGATTTTCACTCTGAGGTACCTAAATGGCTATTTAACCTAAGTAGCAGTGTTTCAAATTTAGACCTTAGCTTCAATTATCTTAAAGGTCATGTACCTGAAGAACTGTCAAATTTTAGGCTGTTGAAAATCCTAGTCTTGAAGTTCAATAATTTGGATGGATCAATTCCAGAATGGGTGGGACAATACAAGCAATTAGAGGTTCTTGATCTTTCCAGCAATTCTTTTTCGGGTCCCATTCCTGAAACCTTAGTAAATATATCGTCACTGGTATATTTACATGTTGGATGCAATTTACTAAATGGCAGTCTCCCAAAATCTCTTGGGCAACACTCAGAATTGCAATTCTTTCATGCTGGGAATAATCAGTTGTCAGGATCTCTTTCTCCTTTCTTATGCCAAGTCATGGCGGGGAATAAAGAGTTGAAGGTTTTACATTTGACTCACAATAATTTTTCTGAGAAGTTTCTTGACTGTTGGATACATCGGAAAAACCAATTGAAGCAGATTTATCTCCGATCAAATAATTTAAGTGGCAGTATTCCACCTCAAAGTTGCCAGTTTCATAAAATTAATACGTTAGCCCTTGCTAATAACAAACTTTCAGGTTCACTCCCAAAATGCTTGGGTAACATTGGAGAAACATTGGATGATTTCATCCATGATTCTCACTATCATGAAACCCAAAGGACTGTTCAAGATTCTTCAAGGACTTGTGAGGAATATCAACATTTATTTTATAGAGACTGCGACAAATACGGCTACTCTGATTTTATGAATTTTCGAGTTCTTCCAATGCAGGCTGTTGACCTCTCAATGAATGACCTTTCAGGATCAATACCTCCAGAATTATTTATGTCAGGTCATTTAGCAGCTTTAAATTTATCCCGTAATGGTTTGACGGGGAGTATCCCGAATGAGATTTGGCATATGAAAGAGTTGGAGTTGCTTGACCTCTCAAGGAACCAACTTGTTGGAGAAATTCCTCAAAGCATGTTCAATATAAATTCTTTATCAGTCTTGAACTTGTCATACAATAATTTGAGTGGAAAAATTCCCTTGGGCACCCAATTTCTGACTTTTGAGGCATCTAGCTACATGGGCAATCCTGAACTTTACGGAGGTCCACTAACAGAAGATAATCCAGAAGGAGAAATACCCAATGAGGAAAAAGAGATCATTGAAGGAAGCGATGATGATTTTTCAAAATGTTTCAAGATGGGCATGGCAATTGGATTTGCTTACAGCTTTTGGGGTGTATGTTTGTCCCTATTCTTCATCTACCCATGGAGAAATGCCTATTTTCGGTTCCTCAGGAATATGTATGATCGAATTTATGTCTTCATTGCTTTGAAGAAAAAATGGCTTCGCAGACACGTGACAGGCTATGATATATGTTTCCAGCCTTCCAGGTTCATATACTTTCTCTCAATGTTTAATTTTGTATCTATATTTTTTTAATTAAATCTTTTAATTTTCTTCTAGTAAAACCATTAGTTCCTGTAATTTTGATCTATTAGTCCCGTTCGTCCATACGTAAGAGCTAATGCTGCTAACAAAATAAAATGAAAGGAATTAGTTAAGGGGGAAAAACATACAACAAAAAAAAAAAATTGAGAGGAAAGTATGAATGCCTACAAAATTGTTTTCTCTTTATCTAAAGCATTACATCTTTGAATGGCCTGACAATTTATTTTTAATATAATTACTGATAGAAAAATATTTAGATCATTTTTTTTTATATTCATCATGTGTCTTTTTTTTTAAAATAGGGATTTATAATTAAATTATAATGTTTCAAAAATAGGACACATGATATTGTGTGTTTGAAAAACTTGACATAATGAATATAAGTAAGTTAAAGTAATTAAGTATCGTCCATATGCATATACCTATGAAAATAATATACTTGAATTTTTTTGTGACCTCTATTAATTTTTTTTCCCCCAGATGAGTAGGTAACATGTTGAAGACCTTTGGAGCATGCATGCTTCACGAATCTTTTCGCTGCGATCTTTTATTAATGGTGTGATTATTGTATTGTCATGTTTTTGTTTTGTTTTTCTTTTTTTTGCCAGAAGATTGTATTGTCGTGCTATGTAGACCTTGGGGTGAACCTTAAGATATAATGTTTCACTATTTATTTTGTGAGATTTGTTGCAGGATATTTATATATCACTATTTTTAGGAGATTTGTGGTATTATTATGTTGGTTATGATGTCATTATTGTCTTTTCATGTTCGTAATGTTACTCTCTCCTGTGCTTAATACAACAGCTACTTTACTAATTAAAAAAATTATTATAATAAGTGTGACAAAATCTTCCTACTAAAACTGCAACACATTTTCATACAACATTTATATGTGAGGCGAAGTAGTTTTAAAAAAAATAATAAATATAAAAAGATAAAATGAATTAAGCTGTTACATTTATGATAATTTCCAAACTAGAGGTAGTAAGTTAAAATGGAAACGACTAAATATTATATATAGATATATATATATATATATATATCCGCTGCGGTGTTTATTATAAGTAAATTATTTACATGCACGCCCATGTGTGGGTATCATGAAAAGTATCAATTTTATTAAGGTGATTTGTATATAATACTCATGGTTATTTTCAACTAATTTTGTTGACATCTAAAACTTCTAAGAAATGCCATGGAAAATTATAGATAACTCTCTTGCCATTAACTACGCCTTCTTGTTCTTATATCACTCTTGCCAATAATTTGTTTGCGTACAGGACTCTTGACATTTTTCTTGCATGAAATATTTTGTATAGGTTTTTTTGCAAGCCGTAAAAAAGTTTTTTAACCAAAAAAAAGGACTTAATTTATGCATGAAAGTAATTCACAATTTAAAAAACTAAGGAAAAATCCAAAAAAAAATGATTATTGAATTTCAAAATTCCAAATCAGTATTGGTTATTACATTCCCAATTTAGAATTTTGAAATCCAACAAAGATTTTTCTAAAAACTAAGTTCATTTCTATAGGGTAATATCAACTTAAGCGACTAATGGGTGCTAAATATAGCGGAAAGAGTTAATTTCTTATACTATGACTCACCAAATTTGAAATTTGTATGCCAATTAAATAAAAATCAAAACCAAGCTGGGCCATTTTCTTGTTCATAATGACTGGTCTCTACTTTTACTGTTTTATGAACAGTACCATGACTAATCAAGATTAGAATCTTTCCTAGAAGTGTCCACATACAGTCTTTTCTAAAAGTGTCCATATTCAGTGTTGGGCAATACATTGAACAAATGTCTAATAAGGGAAAATTTGTGCTAATAAAAAAATGTCAACTTAAGCTAATAATAAATTGGTTTACTCGATGCATCATTAATCATTTGTGAGAATCATTTCTGTGTTTCTCCTGAAGTGTCTCTCTCTTGTCATGGGAGAGAATCCAAGCTAAGTAAAACAATTGCTGAGAAGAAAAAAAGTTCATATCGTGCATTGAACATTAAAAAGGACTCACCTCTTATCTCCCTTGTATATGCATTCGCGTGGGGATTGGTTTGAAGGTTGGTTTTAATAATTTTGTATTATTTGCTATCCTCATAATATGTCAGCATTATACTCCACCAATTCTTTATATAATACATAATTAACTAATTTAAGTAAATTAAGAATGTTAGTTAAATTAACTAATATAATATGCTGTTTCTAAAATATCCTAAATATCTTTCTTAATTCTTTCTCTCCCTTCTATTTAATTATTGTTCAGGAAATACCAATAAAATTAATTTGAAAAAAATTAATAAACATTTTACATATAGAATCAAAATTAACTTCCTAATTACATCATACATTAATACTTTGCATTATTGCATTGTTTCTCAAGTACTCTTTGTTGACAAGTGCAACATGAATTAACCTTCAATCCTCTCCCACGAACAGACCAAGCAGTGATTGATTATTTTGACTTGTAAATATGAATTTTTGAGACCTTGTAATTATTATTTTTTTTCTTTTTACCACAGATCTTTAAGTAACTTTCCATGATTTAATAGTTACATAGACTGTTCTGTTCTTTCTCTTTGCTTTGAGATGTAAAACCAAGCAGTTCAAAACACAGACATGCCTAATCAATACCTGCCACACGATGAATGCATCAAGAATTGACAGTTGAATAAGCATGGTCTTAATTATCTATTAACAAATATGGAAATACGATAATGATAAATCAATTTAAAATGCTACATGATATCAATTATCAACTATTATACAAAAGGAGAACATTTTCACCAAACAAACTCCGCCTGTGACTCACATTATTAGCTCAAAAAGCTATCACTAACAGGAAGGACTATCAGCAGCCTGGCCAATCCTTTTGAACAATCATCCGGTTTTCCAGGTTTCCATGGACATACACTTTGGGCTCTTTAACCTGGAGTGGATCAAAAGCATTTAAAACAACATTTCAAAGGCATCAAGCATTCAATTTTTGAGTTTACTGTTACTACTGACCAGTACAATCGGCGGAAATTCAAATCTAAAACGAGCTCTAACAAACCCATCTTCACTGAATAGACACTTGAATCCATCAACCACCGGGTGTTCACTGTTAAATAGAATTTTAAAAAACACATGTAAGGCATACCAAACAATTCAATGTGAACACATATAGCATTGGCACATGGATTTGTCTCCACTGTACCATTTCGGAAACATTTCTCTACATTCCTCACTGATAACTATCTCTTCCCCATTACACCAAGCATATGAACAATCATTTAACCGTTGAAAAATTTATTCTTCGAATAAGTAGATACGCTTTAAAAACTCACTTTATGAGAAAAGTAAAATTTCTCCGGCGGAATTCCTGCAAGCTGATTTGTTCTTCTTTAGAGTATCTACATAAGAGAAACATATGAACACATTATATTCTGAAAGTTCAATGTCACAAACCAATCATTTAAAAATACCTTGGAAGTTAGAAGTGAATAAAAACAACACTCAGAAGCATAATTGAAACTTAGACTCTCATAACCGCAATGAGAACAACGAAGCAACACTCCCAAATCCCAAATTTAATTTTCCCATTGGAATTGAGTTTTGCTTTCATTAATTGCTTGTGCTCACTTCATTTGGAGTTTCTCAATTTGTTTCTTTAAATAGAAGTAATGTTTAGTACTTGTTCTTGATCAAAATCTCCGTAAATACAATCTTCAGTTTCTACTTGTCACAACCGATACATTAGCATTATATGTCAGATGAAAAGTAAGCACCATCATATAGTCGTCCAAAGCATGGTTATAAAAACCAGATTCAACAGAAAACATAAGAGCTTGGTCCAGTCCGGACTAATTGAGAAAACAAGCATTGGTTAATGGGTGAACCAATTCATTTCATGCATATATCTCAGTCATCAACACAAGAATTTGACAGCGACAATAAAAGCAACAATCCAAAAATGAAATGGATGTAAAAGCTTATACAACAGTGGATCATGGCTTATGATTCAAAACATTTTCGCATATTATTGGCTTGTCAATTCACGGAAAACCCACCGTAACCCAAGAAAAAAGGAAAAAGAAAAGCTCAAACAAACATTATTGCCACAGAAATATTTCCAAATACGATACTGTATATTTGGAAGAAAGGCTTCAATTTGGACATGTTAAAGAATACTGGTACCAGGAAAACAACTTAATCTTTTATTAGAATGGTTAGCGTTTACCAATTTTTTTGGGCACACGTGTGAAAGCGATATATAAAAATTTTCTGCAATATATAAAATGGATATCTGAATATGCATGAGGAGAAGCATAATAATTTGAGAACATTTTGTCATGAAAGGGACCAAAATAAGGAAGCATTGGCATTGGTAGGTCCTAGTAATGGTATGTTATTTTCAAATTTTATTTCTTCTACTTTTTATTCCTCTATTGGTTTCACTAAAATTTTTTTCTTATTTTTGTTTTATTTTTCTGTTTCATGTCAAACTGCCAAGATCATTCTCATTTCTTTGTAAATGGGCTACAAGGTTGGAAAGATTTTTGAAAAATTCATACCATTCTGTATAGGAAACAAAAAGATGATTGTTCAAATAAATTAAGTGACGTAAGCTTTTATTAATACCTTTCTTATGTTTATAGCGACCTAAAAGAACTTGGATATGGAGGCTGTTATTAACTAGAATCTATACGACAGGGAAAAACTTTCCCTGCAAATGGGATTTCCTTCCAAGAAACAAATCCATATGTAATAAGCCATCACACCAATGCTCATATTTGATGTTTGCTTTTACCATAAGCCCCATGTTGCCAAGAAGCAATTTCAGCTCTCCAATGGTATTGAACTATAAAGTGAGCAAAAGGAAGTCAAAACATTCTTATTTGCAAAGGCATAAAAGGTATAGATGTAATTATTTTTCAAATTTTTTTCAAGATTTGGTTATAATATTGTATCTTGAAAATATGAATTTGTTGTTTTGTCTATCAGGCAGAGAGACAAAGATTAACGAAAATTTAGAGCACAAAAATTAAAATGGAAGCAAGAGGTAGAGCCGCTGATCAGACTTGGCTTCCAGCGGAGAATAACAAGGAAAGCGGCAGAGATGCCTTTGGAGAGGGTCTAATGATGAGGAAAATTCTAAGAGGAAAAATTGGCGGTGGATGTAGGCACCTTTGAGAATGAGTATAGTGAATATGAAACTAAGGGTAGGAGAGGGCAGGATTAGGAGGAAAATGACATAGCATGGGGCTGGCTGGATGTAGGTTAGAGAAAGCCAAGCCCAGGTGGTATGGACAATCAATCACATCCAAACCTTTTGCATTACCTGAAGAACCGCAACCACATGAACACCCTGAGAAATATCATAGACTTATTCCATATACGATATATTTTATGTATATTTTCATGAAGCACGGGCAAACAATGCATTAGGTATGTTTACATTTGCACTACCTTGTCTTACATGCGTGATAAAGATAGAGCAAGAAAGAGGAAACAGGAAGAGCATCTGAGAAGGAGCGAACTGCACCTAGAAAAAAGGCCTCACAAACCTACAAAAGACTAACAAGAACAACAAAGCCTAGGGGAAAAAAAAGTACAAATTGACAATTCAAACTTGAACTCAAACAGCTTCTGTCAGCTCATTCAATAACAGCTCTTTATAAGAAGAATTATCTGTTATAGCAAACTGTATCAGTTTTATTGCCATGTTTGATCCAAAAAAAAAAAAAAAAAGGCCCGTTTCATTGTCTTGTTTTCTGTAAATTATGATATCGACTTTGAATTTGTAAAATTTGATGATAACAGCACTCTAAAATCTTTCATTCGTATTGAATATCAGACTGTATGTATTCTCCCTCAGTTTTTGGCTTTGCTTAAGTGGTATTATAGCATATTGATGAAAACATTCAAATTTTGCTTTCTATAGCCATTTCTTTTTAACTAGGTAATGAAGGCAGCTGCCCTCATAGCATTATGAGTAGGTCCGTCTCTGGCAAATACATCAAATACGAAGAGCTTCATAAAGGTATGATATAAAAGAAATATGCATAATATACCTCCATGGGGAATCACCTTCGCAAAAGCGGGATATACCATTCATGGCTGAAAAGGTGTCAATGTGAACCCACTGCTCAGTTGTATCATTAAGAACACCTGCCAAGAGCAACAACCATATCACGGTAAACAGACTCGAGACAATGTGATATGTTATTAGATAAAAGACCAGGATGCTAGCCAGTCATTCATCTATCTGCATGATGTACTCAGTCAAGCATTGGAAAATCAACGTCAAAAGGTAT